GACCCTTTAAGTGCAGCCCTTGGCTAGCCTGAGACAGCATCTCCACGCTCTAAATCCTCCTCTGATGCCCTGCCGGCACTGCTTCCGGCCAGCCTTAAGCCTGGTTCAGGGTCCACTCTGTGTGGACATGCTAGTTCGAATTAGCAAAACGCTAATTCGAACTAGTTTTTTAGTCTAGATCCATTAGTTCGAATTAGCTTAGTTCAAATTAACTAATTCGAACTAAGTTAGTTCGAATTAACATTGTAGTGTAGACGTACCCTCAGGGAAGGGGGGAAGGGAGGGGTTGTGGTGGGGAAGGGATGGGGGAGCATGGGTAGGCCCTGGGGAGAGTTACTGGAGTCCTTGAGAGAACCTCTCCCTCAGGGCCTCCCGGATGCGCTCCCCAGCCCAATGGGCCTGGTGGATGACAGCAGTCCTTGGCTGCTGGTATGTTTGCCCTTTGCGGCCAGTGTTTGCTCCTCACTCCAAGAGGAAGGCCTCCCTGTTCCTTTCCACAATGTTGTGGAGGACACAATATGCTGCAAGCACCTCGGGGATGTTGTGCTTCCCCATATTGAGGTGAGTCATCAGGCACCAGAAACCTGCCTTGAGGAGGCCGAAGGCGCACTCAACCTGAATCCTGACCCAGTTCAGGTGGGCATTGAATTGGTCCTTGCTTGGGTCCTGCTGGCTGGTGTATGGTGTCTTAAGCCATGGCATGAGGGGGTAGGCCACGTCCCCCATGATGCACAATGCCATCTGCACGTCCCCAAGTGCTAAGTCTTGGTGGGGGAGGAATGTGCCTGCCTCAAGATTGCAGTAAAGGCTGGAGTTTCTAAAAATGCTGGCGTCATGTGCCCTGCCCGACCACCTGACAAAAATGTCCGTGAAGTCTCCATGGTGGTCGACCAGGGCCTGCAGAACCATCAAAATGTAGCCCTTGCGATGAATATAGCGGACCGTTCGATGATCAGGTGCGCAGATCTGGATGTGGGTCCCTTTTATTGCTGGGCTGCAGTTCAGGAACCTCAGGGTGTAGTACAAGTACAGATTTATTTTTGTTTAAAACCAAACAGGTGTGTTGATTGAGAAGTCAGTGAAGGGGGGAAGGGAGGGGTTGTGGTGGGAAAGGGATGGGGCAGCAAACCAGAGCCTCTTATTGGGTAGGTAGGCCCTGGGGAGAGTTACTCTAGTCGGGTATGTCTACACTACAAAGTTAATTCAAACTAACAGCCGTTAGTTCGAATTAACTTTGACAGGCGCTACACACGCGAACTGCTAGTTCGAACTTAATTCGAACTAGCGGAGCGCTTAATTCGAACTAGGTAAACCTCATTCCACGAGGACTAACGCCTAGTTCGAATTAACTAGTTCGAATTAAGGGCTGTGTA